CCCCCCCCACCCCGGTTCACATCAACCCAAATATATTCATTTAACAAAGACATGAGAATAAAATGTGAGATTGTCGAGTTTTTGAGCATCCTTTGGGATTGTCCCATTAGTAGTGCGGTTTTGTCATGTAGAGTGACTGTTGCTGGCCGCCGACACCTTATAATACGCAGCTGATACTTATCTTAGCGTGGCCTTCGTCGTCACTGGCTAGTGGTCGCTGGGAGGGGTGGTCAACTTGTCACCCTTAAGTTCTCAAGTCCATTGACAGTCACTGGATGTGTGAACCCTGGACCAGTAACAGCACTGGTAACATTGACTAACTTTCATGTATGACTTTGATCTAAGAACTTGAATAGTTTTAGATGCTTTTATTTATTACTATTCCCATAGGCTATTTATACATCTGTATTTAACAGGTCAAGGCAATTTCAGGGTAACAAAGCTCCTTAACAACTACACCACCTACTGTTCGTATTGCGCTGTTATAATGTCAGTAATCATGAACACAGGTGAGGTGAACAAATATAGTTTGACAGTGAACAGACAGTAGGGGGCGCTGGGCGCCTTGTGGCTTACACCCGGCTGCCTGATCTTCCCCCTCTGCTCAGGCTTCCACTTTGAATCCTGCACCGAAGTCGACAAGAAGGAGTTCGAGAAGGCCATCGAGATGATCGCGGTGGCCTTCAGCAGCAGGTACGACCCGTGGCAGCACTGTCTGGCTCTCTTCATAGGTGCCGCACTGCCCAGCTACCCAGCTGACAATCAGAATTCCAGCTAAGAGCTCCCTAACGTTAGAACTGTAAGCCGTCAGAGGATTTTACCTCCAGAGTTCCTACATGCCAGATTCCTACTAGATAACTGAGAAGCCAGGCAGTGTCGTATAAGAACAGAGCAGCTGTAAACAAGGGACAAAGGAGGGTTTGTTGTTGAGGTTTTGGTCTCAGAAGCGGACCATACTGTCTGGGGGACAGCTGACTGAGATGAAATAGTTGCAGAAGCAGAGAGTTTCCTGATCCACCAGTATGCTGTGGGGTCCCAACCCTTGGCGCTGTAACGTCAGGGGAGTCTCGGCTAACATGCTGTCATCCTACGCGGAGTCCGGTCTGGCGGTGATGCTTCCTCGCGTTCAGTGGGAATCACAGCACCGGCCTCCTGTTAGCGCGCAAATTCACATACCTGTTTGGGATAACTATAAGAGTAATGATGCTTCATTGATCCCCATGGGGAAATTCTCTCTCTCTGCCTACCCCCTCTCACTCCCCCAGCACCTTCTGACCTCAGATGCAGAGGCTTAGCCTGCTGAGCCACTGATCCATACTACCACAAGAACTCTGCTCTTGCCTGTGCTGAACTGTCGATGCACAAAAAAATATGGTTAGCGTTTAGCGGCAAGGGTCAGCACTGAGGCACAGTGTTAACTCCATGGTTGAAGGACATGGGTATCTGTTTCCTCAAGACTGAGCTGTTGGCATCTGCGTCATTCTTCTGAAACTTCGTGGGTGGGGCGAGACCCAGTTCCCACTAAGGTTATTGTCCCTGCTTGTCTGGTTTTGTATGTCTGTTTTGTTGTCAGAACACTGGTCAGAGCAGGTAGGAGGTTATTTTGAAAACTGGATGACTCTCTGAGTCATGGAGCGCCTGATGCCTGGAATCCCCCCCCCCCCCCTCGGTATTTGACGACACACCAATATTTTTCCCTTCGAACAGCCCCACAGGCTCGTAGAATGTGCGGGAGTTTTCTTGCAGACCACCGGGGTCTGATGCAGGTTTTCACGTAGGGGAAGGTCAGCGTTCCGCGGCCATGTCTCGAATCTCGGCCGCCTCGTCTCATTTCTCCCTTCCTCTCTCATTTCTATGTTCCCTCTGTCACCGGCTTGGCCAGCGTGTCGGAGCTGCTGATGGGGGAAGTAGACAGCAGCACCCTGTTGGCGTTGCCACCCACGGAGAAGAGCAGGGTGAGTGCGTCACTGCAGCTTCTGATTGGACCGCAGAGTCGGCCACCATTGTCCACCGAAACCCCATAACTTCTGGACACAGCCAGCATCTATAATTAATTTGTTGGCATATAATTTGTTAGAACAGGAACTTTCCCTTTTAAACCGCTGTTCAAATGTAACGTTTCCCTTATAATACTGAACCTGCCTATGCTTCCAGTCAATGGAGAACCTGTATGGAGTGGCAGGCCAGGGGACAGACACGCCTCTGACAAAAAGCGATCAGCCAGACGCCGGTAAGGGTGTGCCCCGCGCTTCTCGCTCGCTCACTTCCTCTCCGCCTGATGCGGTGCCGTCTCCCTGAAAGGGAAGTGAAAGGCAAGGCAGGAAGTGGCAGATGGAGCGGTGAAGACGACACACCTTGAGGTGGTGCTTCACCAGCACCAAGAGATCCGCTTGCTTGAATTATTTTATAACCACATTTCTAGTCTGTGTTTTTTATTTGTGTCATTGTATTGCGTGAAGCCACAAAGCGAGTGGCAGAATATAGCTATTTTAACTTAAGGAGTGGTATTTAGGAAATAGCTGTGTCACAAGACGCACAACTAGAGGAGGCGTGACCAAGACATCTGATTGGTTGGTCCCACCTCCTCTACAATCTGATTGGTTATTGCTCTGAAACAATCATTTTCCCTTTTGCCCTCAGAACATTTTTGTGGAAGTAAAGCTCCCACAAGCCAAGCCATCACTAAGTAGTAGTGGTGTAATATTAATAATAGATGGTGCATAAATAGATGACCTGTGACTTTGGATCCTCTTCCAGGGGATGGTTTTTAAGTCTTAGGACCCAACTGTTCCAGGAATATCCCTGCGAGCCAATGTGACTCGACATATTACCCCAAATAGTGTTGCAATTTACTTTGTTAGATCCATGTTGTATATCTCCTGCTCCAATACTGCTTACACTTGTATCTGGACGTTCATTAGAAGCTCAGTCTAGCTGCACATATGGGTTTTAGCGTCCACTATGGACAGAAGCGTCTGCTAACTAAATGTAAATGTCCGGCTGTCTGTCAGCTCTGATTGCAGAAGAGGTGGACATCATTCTCCAGCATAGCGAGGGGGGTGTGGAGTCGGCCCTCACCTACGCCAAGAGCATCTCCAAGTACATGAAGGACGTGATCAACTATGTGGAGAAGAGGATTGGACTGGGTGGGTGTGACTCGATGGCGCTCGGCGGAGCGGTGAGCGGGAGGTGAACTAACGCTCGTCTCCCTCTCTCTCTATGCCGTACAGAGATGGAGTTTTCCAAGGGCCTGCAGAGACTGTATCAATCTTGCAAGCACGGTCTGGCGCAGGTAACCACGAGTGAACGAGTGGCTCTATCTGGCTGGATCCAGCTCCGTCCGGATTGGTCTAGTTCACTTTGCTGCAGCGTCATTTGTTAATTTCAAAGGTTTTCATCCATATAGGAAAAATATCAACAAAACATAAAAAAGGCAAACAAAAGTGTGTCAGGGTAAAACTTACATGGACTTGGAATAGGTGTGAATTGCACTGGGCCGCAATACCTTTAGTTAGTTTTTTCATATGCTGGTGGAATGCAAAAATGCAGTACATCAAGGAAAAAAAATCGGAATTAGAATGCAAAAAGGTAAAAGATTTTTTAAAAATGAAAAAAAATTAAGAATACACAAAAATTAGGAAAGCACAAAGCACTGAAAAAACACTTGTATTTTATGTTTCGTTAATGTTTTTACATGTCCTCACTGCTTTGTATGTAAATTTTGTGTTTTGTTTTAACCTTTTTTGCATTTTCTCGATGACAGCAGAATACTTGTTAAGGTCATTTAAGGTCACTTGGTGGTAGCTATGGAAAAAAGTGCTTGTCAAATCAGTGTATCCCAATCCGGTCCGCAGGGACCCACAGCCAGTTCACGTTTTTACTCCTTCCAAGCTAACTACCAGACAGTCCACACTTTTGCTCCCTACCGGGAACTGGGAGGGAGCAAAAACATGGACTGTCTGGGGGGTTCTTTGAGGACCGGATTGGGAAACACTGATGTAAATATAAACATCATGGAAATGGAGAAATGATGTTGAGATGCTGAGTGGCACTGGCGGACGCGGACGGACAGCAGTGATGGCGGCCTGTTCTCCTTCTCCCCCACTGCTAGCCCCACATGCCCTTCTTTTCCATCTACTCGCTGGCACTGGAGCAGGACCAGGAGCAGAGCACCAGCATGCTGCACTCCTCAGTGTCGCAGCACAGCCAGACCTTCCTGCAGGTGAGTCCCAGGCAGTACCCATCAGCGCGCCAGCACGCGTCATGTGATCCTTACTGACGCTGCAAACCCACCCTCCGCCAGCCTCTGTCACACCGAAAGCAGGAGCACGAGAAGAGGCGCAAAGAGATCAAGGAGCAGTGGCAGAGGGCCAGGAGGAAACTGGTGAGAGCCCCTTTCTCCCAGTGGCGCCCCCTCTCTACACCACACTGAATGGCGTCCCGTTATGCAGTGTCTGCTAATACCCGAGTCCCAGCAAAAAATGACACTTTTTTGTTTGTAAGAATTAGTCACTGGCTAGAAAGTGCCACAGTGGTAAATTATACACCTGCGAAAAAAGTATTCATCACGCTGAAACACAGTGTAAACCCAGACACCGTCCTAATACTAATGATCTCGCACCCTCTTCCTGCACATGCCAGCATGATATTAGAGCTTGCTGAGTGTGTGTGGCATCCTTCCCGCAGACTGATGCTGAGGCTAACCTGCGGAAGGCGAAGCAGGCCTACCTGGCGCGCTACGAGGAGTACGACAAGGCCAAGGCGGTGGCCAGCAAGGCCGAGGAGGAGCAGAGCAGCGCGGGCAGCGGCTCAGGAAAGGCCCTGGATCGCAAGAGGCGGCTGGAGGAGGAGGCCCGGAATAAGGTCTGCGTTCGTTTATGTCTCATTGCCCTTTAGCAGCGGCTAAAAACGCAGGAAGCACTAGTGGCCAAAATTGTGGAAACTTAGCATTACACTTTGAAAATGTGTTTATGCTTATAAACCAGCAAAGAATGTTACAAATATCATACATTACACCATCAAATCAGTAACTGGAGCAACAACTGAATAAAGTTCTGCAATCTCTGAAAATTGGAGGTGTTTCCACAATTTTAGCCACTAGTGCGCATATTACATTGTGGGGACCAAATGTCCCCAAAATGTGATAAAACCTGTTATTTTTACCTTGTGGGGACATTATTTCGGCCCCCAAGAAGATACCTTAATTTTTATAAAAATTTATGAATGCACTCAAAAAACTTAAAATTCCAAAAGTCTTGTATTTAGTTTGGTTACTTTTGGTTAAGGTTAGGGCTGGGTAGGGGTTTAAGGTTGTCATAGTTATAATGGAGAGTCCCCACAAAGATATAGCTACCTAATCTGTGTGTGTGTGTGTCTGTGTGATGTCAGGCTGAGGAGGCCGAGGCCACCTATCGCACCTGCATCGCTGACGCCACCACCCAGCACCAGGAGCTGGAGGACGTGAAGGTCAACGTGCTGCGGCAGGTCCAGGAGCTCATCAAGCAGAGCGACCAGATCCTGCGAGCGGTGAGTGCCGAGGTGCAGCCGACCGCCCGGCAAACGCAGGCCTTAACATCAATGAAGATGGGCCTTGTGCTTTGCTGTCTTCCATATCGCTGCTCCTAGGATGCCGGTGGGGTTGTTCTCCAGTCTTCCTTTGAAGCACCAGTTTGTTCCTCTACTGAAGAACCTCACCTTGGTTGTGGTCTTGCCCTAATTGTGCGCTAATGTTCATCCCGGAGATGATAAGGTTGATGTCTCTGATGTTCTAGCACGGCGTGGATCTAAGTGGTGCCCAGGGGTGGCCATGCCCCTCCCCTCCAGTAAATATGCGGCCACCTCACTAGCCACCCCTTACCTAAGGAATAAAAATGAAATCTGGACCATTTAATTTAGTAAACCAGAGCTACCCGACCCACTGATGAGTCAATCGCGGCGTGTTGCCAAGTCGATGGCAAGATGATGGATAATGTTCGCAGCTGACAGAATACTTCCCTAGTAGAATCATTGGGTCTAGTCTGGCCACCCCTTTATACAAGGTCAGCCCATTTTCCTGCTAAAAGAGGGAAGTCATTGTGAGATTTAATGACGGAACAGCTGTAAGTCAACAAAGTGTCAGACATACTAACCATTGTTCAGACAGTGACATGACAGTCTCATACAGGAAGCTCATCGGTCAATCCTCTTCCCCCCTCCCCCTCCAGGGAACCATCTCCTACTATCAGATCATGCACGTGCAGACAGCCCCCCTGCCGGTGCACTACCAGACGCTGTGCGAGAGCAGTAAGCTGTATGACCCGGGTCAACAGTACGCTGCTCACATCAAGGACCTGCAGATGCCCGGGGAACCTGAAACCCATTACGTCTTCGAGCCTTACAGCGCCCCCTGCAGCCAGTAAGTGTCCATATTCAGGCTTTCAGCTCTGTATTCATACCCCTGACCTTGGTTCAGACCCAGGTGACGAGTTTGCTTACCTCCTTCTCACACCAGATCGGGGGGCCGAGCCCGCCATGACAGCTTCAACACGGAGCGGCAGAGCAGCACCGAGACCCCACCCAGCTCCGGAGAGGGAGCCTCCGGGGAGGGGGGCAATGCTGTCAAGGACAAGCCCAAGAGGGGTGAGCGGGGGGGCAGTGCCCGACATCGCCAGCTGTGGCATGTCGCTGCTGGGGGCACAACAGCATCATGTTATTCAGAAGAGAGCTTCCACAAGCAGCGGCTGTTACATATCTGGCATGGTGACGGTGTGAAAGGAGGAGGATGACTGATAAACCTGAAGGGTGATTAGTAAACCTGAAGGGTGATTAGTAAACCAGAAGGGTGATTAGTAAACCTGAAGAGAGATTAGTAAACCTGAAGAGAGATTAGTAAACCAGAAGGGTGATTAGTAAACCAGAAGAGAGATTAGTAAACCTGAAGGGAGATTAGTAAACCTGAAGGGAGATTAGTAAACCTGAAGAGAGATTAGTAAACCTGAAGAGAGATTAGTAAATTTGATTACTGTTGATGTCCTATTAGTTGATCTGATCGATATGGACATGATTGCCTATCAGTAAATATGATTGCTGACTGGCCCTCCATGGTTCAGGGCGAGGCCACCAGACCCACAAATCCTGGCCCTCGACAGTGAGTGACACTGACAGCGTAGGTGGTGACGGCCTGGAGTCCCCGGCAACCAGCACAGGTACGGTGACAGAGCCCAGGGTGGCTTTCCCGCTCATTTTAGTCATTCCGCTCCATAAATGGCCACCATATTGACATAAATGGACGTCGCCACTGGTTGAGGGACATTAGCGTCAAGCCATGTGCCCACCTGCATCTCTCTGCTCTCCAGGTGACATCACCAAAATGGCCAGGTCCCCCTCAACAGGGACCATGTCCTCCACGGAGGACCTGAACGAGAAGGAGAGCGGGGTGGGCTCGCTGGAGCAGAGTGAGTGCTGGGGTGGTACCTTCACGGAGTGACGTCCTGTGAGACGTGCTCACTGTCAGCTGCTAACAGAGCATTCTGCTGTGTCTGTGTGCCGGTCCACCAGGCATAAACGGGATCGAACCTGAAATGGTAGTGCCGACTGGGCCCTTCCGCAATGTAGGACTGTCCAAGGCCGCGCAGACGCATCGACTGCGCAAGCTGCGCGCACCGTCTAAGTGCCGGGAATGCGACAGCTACGTGTACTTCCAGGGGGCTGAGTGCGAGGAGGTGAGACAGTGTGACACATCACCGGGTGCTTTCGGACACTTCCTGATACGACATGTGACGCGTTTCTGCCGGAGAACACATCTTGGTGGCTAACAATCAAGCTACTTAGCGACCAATAACTTGTCAGATGTTTAAAAGGCTAATTAAATCATTTGATCCAGGATGACTTGTAAATCACCATAGTACAATTATATTTGTTTATTTAGCAGAAGCTTTTCTCCAAAAGCAATGTACAGTTAAGAAAGTAGAGTCAATATGGGGTTGAGTCCAGCAATGAAGTCACTCTGTCGACTATGTGAATTGAAAAGAGTCCAAAAGCCCAGAGCCAGTAGATTCTCATGGTTATACCATGCAGGCTAAGTGGGGAAAAAACCAGCCCGTACTTTTTTCAGCACCTTAAAGCACTAAGATTCTCGTGTCGACCATAATGTGGTGACATGCATGCTGTGAAGACACTTCGTACCTCCCACACTGATCCTGCCGCGACCCTTGTTGCCCTGGCAGTGCTTCCTGGCCTGCCACAAGAAGTGCCTGGAGTCACTGGCCATCCAGTGCGGCCACAAGCGGCTACAGGGCCGTCTGCAGCTGTTCGGCAGGGATTTCTCTCAGGTGTCGGCGAGCAGCTCCGACGGCGTGCCCTTCATCATCACCAAATGCATCCTGGAGATCGAGCGGCGGGCGTTGAAGATGAAGGTGCATCACTTGTGCCCACGGCTAGGCTGGCGCGATTGGGGGGGGACCTGGTGCATTGTGGGATACGCTGATGAAACTGGTCGTAATCGTTGCTCTGGCGGTGGCTCTCACTCTAACGCAGGGCATCTACCGGGTGAATGGAGTGAAGACGCGGGTAGAGAAGCTCTGCCAGGCTTTCGAAAACGGCAAGGAGCTGGTGGAACTGTCCCAGGCGTCACCCCATGACATCAGCAACGTACTCAAACTCTACCTCAGACAGGTGCTCTCCGCATACTCAGACGTCAGCCCCATCCTGGCATTTTGTAAGCTCACTGTAAGCACCATACAACAGTGTTCCATCACAGACTTAACACCCCAATCCTCCCTCACCAGCTTCCAGAGCCCGTCATGCCATTCCGGATATACAACGACCTGATGGGCATGGCCAAGGAGAGTATGAAGGGGGAGGCGGCCGAGGGCGTCAGGGGCCCGGAGCTAGCGGACCTGGGCGCGGCCACAGAGCCCGAGGCGCTGGTGCTGGTGGAGCGTCTGCGGGTGCTGCTGCAGGATCTGCCCGGGCCCAACCTGGTCACTCTGCAGGGCATCATCCGGCACCTCTGCATGTAAGGGAACTCACGATCACATGTAGAATACTGATCCTGGGGTCATGACCTCCATTAGGAGAGCCTGCCTACACCACAGCCTGGGTTCTGTGAGGCTTGGATTCAACAAGGTGCCAAATACTCTCCTAATGGAGTTTGGTCCATAACACATGTGTACTTGGAGGCTTCCTGTTGGCTTTAACAAGTCTGCCAGTTAATCTCTGATTGCTCTCATTAACAAGGTGCTCTTTTTGCTCGCAGAACAGTTGCTTGCCCTTCCCTAACCCTACTGGGAGCTGGGAAGGAGCAAAGGCGTAAACTGTTTGGGAGTCCCAGAGGAATGGTTTGAGAAACACTGACCTAACAGAGTGGCCATAGAGTCTATCGCATGAATCTAAAAGGTGTATCACTGTATGTTTGTGCCCTATGGTGGATTGGCATCCCATTCTGGCTGTACCCCAGCCCTGCACCTGCTGTTTCCTGCCACAGATGGCAGGGTTGCCCAATTCCTGTCCTGAAGGGCAGATTTCTGTCCTCAGCATACCCCTTAATCAGCTAATTACCAGGTTTAGCAGGTGTGTCTGAGCAGGGAAATCTGTGTGTAGGATTCTGGTCCTTCAGGCCGTAACTGGAGAGCCCTGCTCTAGGCCTCACCCTGGCCCTGATCAGGATAAGAAGCTAGAAGATGGATTCATGAATAGATGAATCTGAAATGGTGGCAGAGGCCCCACTGTGCGTCATGGGGTTGAGTGTTTTTAACGAAATTGTTGATCTTCTGCAGGATCGCGGCACTGGAGCAGGAGAACAAGATGAGCCCATCCAACCTGGGGATAGTGTTCGGGCCCACGCTGATGCGGCCGCGGCCCACGGGGGCCACCGTGTCCCTGTCCTCGCTGGTGGACTACCCCCACCAGGCTCGCATCGTCGAGGCTCTCATCGTTTTTTATAGTCGCATCTTCTCAAGAAGCAGTGGCCCTGTCCGGCCTGCCGCCGCCTCCGAAAGGAACAGCCAGGTGCCCCCCCCCGTCCTGACACACAAACACACTTCGAATGCGAAAGATATACCTGTGGCAACTCTATGGCACCTCCTCTACCCTGATCCAGGACCTCAGCGCTGACAGCAGCAAGGAGAGCGTGGAGGAAGGGGAAGAAGCAGCCGGAGCAGAGCAACAAAGCGAGATACCTTCGAAGGACTTGGTGGAGGACCTCTCTGGTGAGGATCTGACCTTCTGGCCAGTGCTGTAGTGCTTCTTCTAACAGTGTAGCTTTTTCAGTAGGAAGTACAGTTCAGGGTGACCAGATAATCCATGTCGGGTAGGACACTTTCAGCCACTGTTTGATTAGGGCTGGGTGACATGATATCACAATATCCTAAAATTCCTATGTAGAAACCAGTAATATATTACAGATGGTTCTCAGTTTTTCCGATTATGATAAGTAACTTTTTTACTAATAGTTATGGAGCGTGTGACAGCTATACTGATAAATTACACCAACAAGAGACTCATACCTTAATGGAATTTGTGTAAGAATATATATATGAATAATTAATTATGCAAGAAAACAAGTATTTAGGCTATCACAATATTCAAATAGATGAGGATATGAATGCTCATAATCACAATATGATATTCTGTCGATATATTGTCCAGCCCTGGTGCATTATGGGATAGCCCAAAGTACTTATGGAATAGCTGAATGTGTTTGTGTTCTTCACCCAGGAAACTCCTTGGGATCCTCTGGCTCTCGCGAGAGGTCCCTGGATTCAGACTCTGATCTTGAGGAGATGGCTGGTAGCCCCAGGGACACGACCACGAGTCCCAGTCTGGCGAAGCAGGCTAGTGAGACGAGCACCGAGGATGAGCACCTGAGCCCCAGGACCAGCCTGGACCTGTCAGTGCATCCCCCGCCTCTCCCCTCAAGCGAACCCCCCCAGGACGCAGAGAGCTCCCAGCCGGACCAGGACGCTTCCAGCCCTGAACCCTGAGCTGGCAGCAAGAGATCATCCATGATGAGTCCAACCTTTTGGAAACTGCAGAATGTGCCTTCAAAGCTTTCATATCTGCATTTTTACACATTTTTACCATCTCGTCTCACGTAGGAATTTTGAAACGCGCCTTTCACCTTTGAGCATCTGTTCTCAGAGGACACTGAGGACATCGCAGTGCTGTGGGAGCCCAAACTGCTGCTGTCAGCGATTTGGAGCAGAAGAATCTGAAGCAGCTTACATATTAGCTTATTCACATCTCCCAGAGCTCAAGGCGATTTAGCCAGTTTTTTTTTTCTTTCGGAAAGCAGTTTGCCATCTTTTACATTACATAATCGTCAAGGTGCCGATCCTGTAAGTCTAAGTACTGTCCTACATGGATTCCGAGGACCTGGTATGATATTTGTTGAAATTCTTGAAGAGCTCTCGAACTGCTCGTGCTTTTTATGAAATCGCTTGTTTTCCTTTCCATTTTATGCAGTCCGTACATCAGTCTTACCTGCGAGAGGACAGCAGGGCACTGGCGTGTGTTTTGCTCTGCTGGGTTGGAGCAGACATCCTCCCTGCAGCATAGCTTTCTGTGAAATCGCTAGGAGGAGGTCATCCTTAAGAGGCCGAGCAAGAAATGTGCGGCATATACGTACTTAACGTTTTGCTAAGAAACTTCCTCGTGCACTCAGCTTCTTTTCAAACTAGAGGAACTACTACTGCCCTAGTATATAGTAATTCCTGAAATACTATAGTATGGCCCAATAGTACATGGATTCATGTAAGTGAAAGAATTGGACCCATGAATAGTGTTTTCAGCATGAGACTTTTGTGTTCGCTGTGTTGCACCCTATTACAACTTCTTGATTAGTCTAAGTTTAACTCTCATGTGCATACAATGGTACTTCAGAGAATTAAGGAATATGAGATTTTACATAATAAATTGTTTGAGTGTGTGTGCAAACTTGGAATTTTCCAACTGTAAGAGCTGATAAAGTAATGTATGGGTAACATCTATATTTATTGCTTTTTAAGAAAATCTTTAAATTACTTTTTTTATTGACATTTTATGATAACCGTTATTTCAGTCATTATTATGCATACAGTATTTTTGTACTAAATTTCTGTACAAGTAAACAATTTTTATGTACATAAAATAGGCAAGACTTTGACTGTACTTCTCGCTTTTCAATTCTTACTAAAATGAAAAAAAAAATCATCCAGTTTGGTTTTCCTTCTTGAACACAGCAAAGAGTTGTTTAAAAAAATCTGTATAAATGACAACAGATTACATGTATCTGGAAAATAAAACTCACTGAATATTTTACACATAGTAAGAAGAGGCTTCTTTTCTTTAAATATTTCAAAATGTGGAAAATATCGTAATCTATTATAGGAATAACTGCATTTACAACACCCCTGCCCCCCCCGTTTCAAATTATTTAAATGCAATTAAAAGGGGACAGTGGAGGCCAGGACAGCAATCTCCACACCTGCAGAGGCAGTGTGCATTTTATACCCATAAATGACCTTGCTCTTATCTTCCTGCACAGATGTTTTCGAGTCTGAAAGCAGGGATAATTTTGCAGCTGTCAAAAAGACAAAAGAGAAGGTCTTAAAGTAGAGGTCACACTGTGAAGTTCTGCAGCGGACTGAGCGACGTTCCATGCGAAGGGCACTTACCCTCCCCCGCACAGCGCTCACTGCACCAGCCTGTATGTGATATACCTCCCAGCTGTCTCGCTCGGCCTGATGATCTTCACAACCTGCACAACATGTGAAGACCACGCCGGCTGCTTACGAACATCGTCAGGGTTTTATCTGACCACATGGAGGCGCCGTGGAGCGGGCATCCCCTTACCTGTCCCCTTTTCAAGCCGAAGTACCGCGCGACAGGATCCCCGGCCTGGATGCGGGGAAGCTGGCTTTCTTTGAGTTTACTGAATTGAGTTAGGGAGCTTCCAAAGACACTGAAATCTAGGCGTGTCGCCACATTCCTTGTTAAAATTAGAGATGCCTTATATCACCTGTATAATTCTTTCCTATTTAGTACAAAATGTGCTAACACAACTCTTACTTAGTTTCTGATTAATTAATTAATTAACATTAAGTGTTAGTTACATACTGATCTCATGTTCATTCATCAGTAATCAATCAAAACGGTTCATGTATTTCATGCAGTTGCTCATGATTTGTACTTGAGTAGTAACTGAGTACTAGACTACTCAAGTGTTACCCAATATGTCATGCTCCTGATCCAGATGAACCTGTTTTAATGCCTCCCATCCTGTCGTTTTCTGGCACAGTTGCTGCTGTGGCACGTTTTTCTATCACGCATGTTAATTCATGTTCTGATTTACACACCACTTGCCAAAGATGATTTATACCTCAACATTAAAAGGATACTACCGAGTCAAAAGCTCAGTCACCTCCTCCTTTGTCATGACAATGTGTTCTGGAACTAACTGCAGTGGGACGACAAATGTTCACTGATCATTTCAGTTAAAGATTTTAAACTAAATAAAATCTCATGTTCTTTAATAGGAGCTTAACAGCACATAGCTGTGTGAGGTTTAACTAATAATAAAATATTATTATATTATCTAAATATTAGAATTTAGCACAATGGTGACCAGATAATCCATGTCATGCAGGACAGTGAGCTGTTTTGTCTTTTCCTTTGGATCAATGAAGTATCCATCCATCTAAGGTTTCACAAACTCCCTTAAAACTGAAATGCCCCTGTGCTTCACTAAATAGTTCATAGTACCATAATTGAAATGGTATTTCATAAATCCTGGACATGGATTATCTGGTCACCATAAATTTGCTACTCAAAATTAAAACAAAAGACCAAACTCATCCAACTACTGCTGCCTCACCTCATGTTCTGTGATGTTGATTAGAAGTTCTTGTTGCAGAAACTGCTCCAGGATGTACTTGGGAGCCATATCAACTAGAGACTGAGCAATTCCACACGCACATTAGGTTATAAAATCTACTAGCAGAACATAACCATTATTCCATAAACAAGACTGTCACAAACCAGCACTGACTTGTCATACCTGTTTAGCAGATGGTGTCATGCCCAACTGTACCACAATGATGGCCCTCGTAATGTTTTCCTCCTGCATTCGCTGGCAGTACATCTTGATGGTCTTAATGCCAACTTTAGGTTCCTCTGCAGAAGACAAAATCATTCCACTATTAAGAATAAGACATCTATTTTTGGAACGGATCAATGGGGAAATGCATATGTTACAAGGCATGACATATTCTCTGTACCATTCTACATTTCACTAATGGCATACAATTCAGACATTATGAAACAGAAACCTGGAAAAAAGACGAACATCTGGTCTGTGGGGTCATCATTGTGGGCAACCAGAACAGTGAGATCAGTCCGCCGCGGTCGTCCTTCACTGGGCTGGTCTCCAAACTGGCTCTTAAATTCGTCTAGTGTCTGGTCCAGTTCGTCTTGTGTCACTAGATAACCTCGGTCATGGCACAACTATAAGAAAATAAATAAGAGCTATAAGCATATTATACTATGGTAAAATTATTCGGTGCATGTATAAAGTACCGTTACGCAAATCTATCAAACCTATATATAACGGGTAGATGGAAATTTCTTACAGAAGCCATGAACCGCATTTGATGATTTTTTTTTCGGAGACAATAAGTCGTTATTTTTGACATAATGATAGGTATAAATTATAATACATTTATAATCTGCCATGTGCTATCAGCATCAATCGCATATATCCAGTGAGCAGGTTGTGATTTTGAATCCCACTGAGGTACCCTTGAGCAAGGTACCATCCCCACATACTGCTCCCCGGGCACTGTATTGATAGCTGCCCACTGCTTCGCTTGGTGGGTCAAATACAATGTTGTGCACTGGTGTCTTTCACATATAACAAATAATCACTTTCACTTCACTACATGTACATGTTTCTACAACTTTGTTTTGGTAGCTTTTTATGGCTTTGCTGTAGCCTACGTTGAAATGTTTACTAGTGTCTACCTTTTTTTATCGTGGATTAAATAAGATCTACTGGTATAGATTTCATCACTTAGGATTCAACGCCTTTTTTGGGTCAGGTCAGATTTTGGTTGTTCATCAGTTCATTATGTGGGTGGGGCAGTACAGTCACGGTATCTCCTAATGGGTTCGAAAACCATGACATGCAGGGTTTATTCGCCGCGGTTAAGGCTGTTCATGTTCTTACCACTGAATCACTCTGTCTGTGCACTGTAAACAGCAGCCCAATAATTAGACATACGGGTCAAACTGCACCAACGTAATAACGTGCGACGTAATTCTGCCCTGGCTCGTCGGTCAAAGTTATTCTGATTTTCAGTTCGGATATAGATGAATTACCCAGGCAGTGTTTTAGAAACGAATTAGTGGAATATAAAATGCAATGAAATGTTACAAACGATAAGTTTATAGGCGATTTATGACAAACGATAAGAATGATATGGAGCATATTAATGGTCTACATAAAGTTAACATCAGTAAGGGTTAACTTGGAATGAAAGCACAAACTATGTAAAATTCCCAGAAATACATGGGTCGTTAGTGTACCAAGTAAGCTACTGACGTTAACAGTGCGTCAGTATGACTCTTTATGACATTCTTTAATATTGGCGCAAAGCTTAACATGAGTTATGTCGAAATAACGACTTATGTCGAAATAACGACTTAATATCTCGTTCTAATGACTTATTATGTCAAAATAAAGAGATAATATCAATATCGATTCATCAAATGCGGTTCAGGGCTTCCGTAATTTCTAGATCACGTGGAGAATATAAATAACAACACATGGCAAGCTGTCTGAAGCTAACCTGCATGATCGTTTTCCGAATTTTCCATAGTCGATAGGTCTCCTCTTCATCATCCATCACAGCTCATTTAAGTAACACTCCAATTCGGAAAGAAGAAATAAATTAAAATAAGAAAGAGAATAACCAACCTTCAACGTCACACTCGCCCCGCCCTCTCGGGAAATATCCAACGAAAGCTGTTCACATGCAAAGCTGTTTTGGACCCCATACTGCTGTCCAAATGTTGCCTGTTTATAAAGTAAAGAAATAGATTGCGCCTGGTTAATTTAAAACTGCATAGTTTTATGCACGTACTATATTTAACTTTTCTCAGGGGAATAAACAATCTGTAAGTGCAACTACGTAATTAGAATATTAATAATAAACAGCTATTCGGTGTAATAATTATTCCTGCTTTGCAGTCTACATAGAAATAACTTTGTTAAAGTGAATTGTTTGAGCCGTAATATATTTCAACACAATCAAAACGACTAACGATTTCCACGCTGATCGCAGCGCCTTATTTCATTGGTGTTCCACAAGTCAGGTTGGGCTGTAAATAACGCTCACCAGAGGCGAGTAATTTCGACGAAGGGCGAGTACAAATAATACTTAAGTAGCCCAATTGGCAATTACGACCAGGAATGTATGACCTATCAAAATCCGTCTGAAAGAACATAAATATGTATAAATACATGAAGCAACATATTTATTCATAAAAGAACTCGCCACCACAAAATTGTACTTTTCAAGCGCACGTTTTGGGTTAGCGAACGATGGATTATGGGGGCGTGCGGTGATTGGGTGATTTCGCGGTCGCGTGGGTCACCACGTGATTTAGGTCGTGGCCGGAGCAGATCGCTGTTCTTCTGCGCGTAGCTTATGCGGCTGATCAGAACTGCGCTGCTGGTTGTCACTCTCGCACGGCGAGGGTGCGTTCGAGCGATGGTAAGAAACTATCCCTAATGTATAAATGTAGGCTACATGTTATCCGCATACGAATCTTTTTCTGAATTTGAAAAATATATTATTAAAGCGTCAGCCATATTTAGCGCTTGGTCACTAACGGAGAACAGTGACTTGTGGGTAAGCGTAAGCTAATTTTAGGGCGATACGGCATATTCGGTGCACTGAAACAATCCTTATCAACAATTAAGCCCATTCAAATCAACGTACCTATTTGATATTGGTTTCACGATGTAAATTACATTAATTTGCTAATTGATTTGTGTCTCGGCGGTTTGGACCGGATGGATACGCCTAGTTAATACTTAACTAATTTGCGCTATAACTGCAGGTGTTCCTTTTTATAAAACGAGCCGCAATGCGTGTATCTGCTGCTCTCCCTGTACTTCGAAGGTCGTGCATTTTGTCGCCGCGCTACTAATTCAATTTAATGTCTAAGGTAAAGTTAAATCCCCGACTCATTAAGAAGGAATCTTCTGCGAGAATTACGTCAGCATCTAGTGATTGAAATCGGATCTGGGCTGCTGTATTTTATTTTAGATTATTTATGCTATTTGTATAACGGTAAGATTGCTCACTTTAAATATGTTGTCATTATGTATAATATTATTTATATATATATTACACACACACACACACACACACACACACACACACACACACACACACACACANACACACACACACACACACACACACACACACACACACACACACTCTCACCCCTATAGTGACTTATACTTTACACGGCATCATTGAGAGATTCAGGCGTCAAAGGCTGCAAGGAAAAGGTGAGCTGGGATGGCAGTACAATTAAGGCGCACGCAGACAGCCACACAAAATGGGCTATTTACATTCACTGTTTTGCCTAACCATGTTTTTGACAGAGGAAACTGGGATTAATGTATACACAAAGAGCCGAACGTCCAGCCCTAAAGCTGCGGAGCTACAGTGCCGAGCACTGATCCACTTTATAATTTAGGGAAATATTTTGATGGTCTATTTTTAGGGAAGTAATTGTATATTCTTTTGCCTTGGAGACACTGAGATGAATTTTGTATGTTGTGTGGATGAGGTTTTCAGTGAATGTTTACCGCTGTCACGTTGCTTCGGTCTTGAGAGGCTGCAGTTTTATTAACTAGCAAATTTGACCTACTGGTCAGCAAAGCGACGCATAGAGTTTCACCTGTCCAAAGTATTCTTATTTGCAAGAGAGGAAGCCTTGATAATCAGGGTTATATTCTTGATCTCATTTACTGCATCATGCTTTCTTTCCCTCGACCTGTGTAGAACTATCCAAGTTTTTTTTAAGTCTCGCAATCCAAGAACATCAAACTAGACACAGCTGAATGTTAATGGGCGTTTGTTCAGTTCTCCCTTCCTCAGCATTCTCTAATCCGTAATGCATGTTTGTTGGACTTGCACAGTTCCTAAGCTCATGACACGCCATAGACATTTATTTCTCTCCCTCTCAGTCTGCGGAGGCTGAAGATTGGCGCAAGGCCACATCCATTTACGATTTTTCTGCGAAAGACATTGATGGCAACTTGGAATCCCTGGAGAAATACAGGTGAGCAGCCACCTTTTTTTGTGTTCAAACTCTCCAATCTGCATTTCTTGATTAATCCCATGAGAAGCCCCCCCAGCCACCCCACCCCACCCCTCAAAATGCACAACAATCTCTGCTGCAGTATCAGCTAGTGCACATCACTCCTGATCTGCTTGCTCTTGGGTACCGACCTGGAGCCCATAGTTCACAAAGAGGATGCGTCTTAAAATTCATTCACATCTAGTGTTATTTGCCTGGTGCACATGTAACCACACAAGCACCCAGCTGACAACTGATATGCTGTGGTGTTTAGTGAAAGGAATCTTGCTCTCTTGCCTTTTCACCACAGACAAGTGTAGCACAAGCCAGGATTGAATCTTTAGCCAGGGCACCACTGTGAAGGCCATCTGACATCATTTAAATGGCTTGGTAAATAGACTATTAGCAGTGAGAATTGTGAACGCGTCTTAATGGTTGTCTGAAGATGGCTCATTCATTATGCTAGCTTGATGATTACTTTGGTTTATTTAGAATTGGGTGATCAGTGGTCATTATTGACACACCACAGCACACAACGAAATGTGTCCTCTGCATTTAACCCATATGTGACAATGTGACCTAGCAGGGGGAAGCTAATTCAGCGCCCAGGGAGCAGTGCTTGGGGCCGGTACCTTGCTCAGGGTAACTCTGTGGTACTTTGCTGGTCAGGGATTCAAACCAGCAATCTTTCATTTACAAGTGCACGTCCCTAATCATTAAGCCACCACCGCCCACAATCGTGTTATCGTGTTTGTTGCTTTATCACTCAGTCTTTTTTTTTTTTCTTCTCTCTGCAGAGGTTACGTTTGCATCATCACCAATGTCGCCTCCAAATGAGGCAAGACCCCTGTAAACTACACTCAGCTTGCGAAGATGCACGACACGTACGCTGAGCAAGGTTTACGAATCCTGGGTTTTCCCTGCAATCAGTTTGGTAAACAGGTCAGGCCTCAGACGCCATTTCTTCATGTCACGCAACTTGACTGTGAGCTTGTGACCTTAGTCACATTGACCTAGTTTTATATACCTTTTGCAACAGATTTATTAATGACTCTGGTGAAACATTTTGCTCGGTGGCATATCACCCCCTTGATCTTTTTCCAGTCTTTTCTGCTAGTTGACTTGCCTTGCCACTGTCGCCTATGGCTTACTCACATGGGGCTTTGGGTGGGGATGCTGTGAAGCGCTTTGAGACGATGTAATGTTGTGATAATGCACTATACAAAAATAAATTAGTTGTGATTTAAATACACAACAATATTTTCTTTGATTTAACAGTTGAATGAAGTATTGTGGGGTGCCCTTTTCGTATGAACAGAATTTAATCACTGGCCGTTAGCCTTTGGGCTCTGTGTGTCTGAGTGTTCTGTATAAGTCCCTTATTCCTTTGATTCATGACAATCTGTAATTTCCTAGTGCTGGGTGAATGGACTATTTTCCTTTACCTTCCCAAACCTGTGAACTGGGTTTCTGTTCCTCCTGCTAGTACTGTACTTCATTCTCCTACTTACCTGTTATACCCTCCAGACCTAGACAAGGGGCATGACAGTTGGTGTGTTACATACAGCCAAAAAGGGGGGGGGGTGTTTGTTAATAGTAATTATTTGGTGCATTGTAAGAGGTATAACACAAGCTCAGCCAGCTTAACAGGCTGTAATTTCTGTCCAAAGCAACAATATACACAAACTCAATGTGGTCTCTCCTCAGGAACCAGGAACAGAGGAGGAGATAAAGGAGTTTGCTAAGGGTTACAATGCTAACTTTGACCTCTTCAGCAAGATCGATGTCAATGGGGAGAACGCTCACCCCTTGTGGAAGTGGATGAAAGAGCAGCCCCATGGGAAAGGGACACTGGGAAAGTGAGTTTCCTGGTTGAGATTATCCTCAAGCCTTTATTGGGTCCATAGTTTGAATTTCTTTCTTGGCTGGCTTCTCAGGGTTGTGATATCAAGTTGTGTAATTGAACATTACTGTTTGGGGTGTGTGTGGTAAAATTCTGAATTTGTTTTCCATTTCATAGCAACATCAAGTGGAATTTCACAAAGGTAATTTTTAAAACCTTCATTATGACATTTGTGATGTGACCTGATTATAGAGGGTATTTTAGCTCTGAACTCAGGCAGAGGCTCATTTTTCTGTGTGTGAGATAATGAACATTTGCTGGTTGGTCAGCGCCTCCTCCCATGTGCGCTACTGCGTACAGATGTCAGTAGCTGCCTGGCATCAGACACGGCCGGAAATTATGCAACCTCCCCTCATGTAGCAGAAGTTCTGTTCCAACGCCCGGGTCATTAAGCAAGATGGTTGATACATGAAAATCACTAACCCAGCTGTGACCATGGCTGTGCTTATGACTTCAGCTTTCCATAGCTGTTTCATTCCCCTTCATGATGTGGACATTTTTAATATTTTTAACTTTCTCCTTCAGATTTCTCACTCTGGCATGTCTTGTCAGTCACAGGTGTGTGTGTGTGTGTGTGTGTGTGTGTGTGTTTCAGTTTTTTTTTTTTTTTAAACTGACTGTGATTGGTTGCTAACGCAGTTGGTTGTGAAATGAGTGGCTGTGCTGCCTGATGTAACCAGTGACCTCTGCTGTCACAAGGGGACTTGTCTGACTGCAATGTGACATGATATTGAAAGGGCAGAGCAACACATGTTCTGTAGCAGGTGATTAAAGGTGAATGAGTAATTACACCAGTTGCTGAATAGGCTCAAAAGATACCAAATTTTATCCTCCAAACCAGACTCGAGGAAAAGGAATATTTTTTTTTATTATTAAATTCTCTTCAACCTATATTTTTGCATAGTTCCTCATTGACCGTGAAGGCAAAGTTGTGAAGAGATACTCGCCGATGGATGACCCAGTTGTAAGTTGTGACTTCACCTGTAGTATCCCCAAGAGATTGGTTTCCATAACTATATATTGTGTGACTGTAATTTTAAAAACATACATTTAAGCTTGGTCAGAACCAGTCAACCACTTTTAGCCTTGGTGCAAACATCACATGACAATGTACCAATAAGTGTCATTTCCTGTGTTCCTGTTCAGGTGGTTGAAAAGGATCTTCCCAAGTATCTGTAGTTTGGCTAGCTTCTTGAGCACACTGACATCAGCCCTGCCTCTCACATGGCTAGCTGCGAGTGGGCGGTTCTACTCCCAGGCCAGTGACGGCCTGCCCTCAAAACCGCCTGGCGGAATGGGCAGGCCTGATTTATTTCGTCGTGCACCCCCCACTCTGGGAAAGACCAGACCCCGCTTCAGCCAGCCTGTGTGAGAACAGGGATGCTATTTAAAACCGAATCTATATGATGGTCAAATGGTTTTTTTTGTAATGCCTAACAATAAACAGATTCTTTATCCAAATTGCTGTTGGCTGTTTTTATTTGATGCAACTGCTCTCAACAGGGGGTGTGTGTTCCTTGCGTCCAAGAAAAATAGGAAAAACCTGGAGATTTGGTGTGGTGTCTTATTTGTTAAACCTGTTTAGACTTGGATAGTTCTGGGGATGTCTTTCACAGAACAGTGGTTCTCGACCCAATACTCAAGACAAAGTCATGTTTCTCCTCACAATTTGCATACTAAGGTTGCATCCATCCATTTTCCAACTGCTTATCCTGAGCTGTGTAGCTGGGGTTCCTGGAGACAATCCCAGGCAGCACAGGGCAAAAGGCAGTGTGTCCAGTATATTGCAGGATGCATGCACACACAGATACACAAACATACACTGTGGGAAGGTAGGCAAGAAATGCAACTCGAATGCATCAACTTCATGTAGCCAGAGCCAAGGCAACAGTGCCACCTATGGAGCCCTACAGAGGTTTGCAGGCTGGATAGTGGCCAGCGGTATATTGCTCAGGTTTACAAAGTTAAAAATCCAGACTAAGATTTTGTTTCAACTAACGAGTTGAATACAGTCACAGTACTAGTTAGAATCATCCCTCCAGAGGACATGAGACGTGCCGTTTTATTAAATTGGTTTGGGAAAAGGTTTAGCTAGGTAGTGCATATAATTTTACAGGAAAAATACAACCAACCTGCAATGATGCAGAGAATGTCCTGTTCAAAGGTTTTCTGAATAAAAATGTCAACCTTTATGCTGCTTTAAGGCTGTTTTGCAAATTGTAGCTTTCTGGAAAATCAGATGCAGAAGAATGGGCTGGTTAGGATGTCTGTATTGGCTCGCTGCTTTACCTTTGTGTGGTGTAGTAGAGTGATTGTGGGCCTTGAATGGGGATTGATTAACTTGGTTGCAGGATTATATGGTCATTGCTATAATTGGGGGGTGTCTATATTATTAATGCTACTTCAGAATTTATTGTACTGTATGCTTTTGATATCTGATTATTTTTAAAAATTCAAATATTTTACACAGTGCTTGAAGTGGGCCGGAACGCAGCGGAACGCAGTTCCGGAACTTCTGTATTTTCGTCTTTTGGGTTCCGCCACTTTTTTCTGCGTTCCGGTACTTACTGAAACTGATCCGACGCAGTGACAGTGGCCCGAAAAAAGACAATATCACAAGCCCGAAAAAAGACTACATTCCCCACGAGCCACGACAGTGCCCTATCATATGCATCCAC